TATATATATATTCAAATATGTCATGTGGATCACACCCAAGATATATAGTGTAGTACAGATGAGAGAAACTGAGAGAGAGATAGAAAAGGAGGAAACAAAGTTCAATGTAACACACATTTTGATATAAAATTCAGGGGTCTTTTATTGAAGAAATGACCCCTATTTACAAGTCGCAGGAGTATCTAGTATAAAATTGCATGTCTGCCCATGTTTTAATAGGAACGTTGCAAGCTATTATGACATATTTTCATATTTATAATCGACTACTACACCCTTTTATATTCATAACTGATATTGACATTGTTTTGTATTCATAACTACCTGAAGATGGGCATTTAATGACTCATTAACCATTTGATTCGGCTAGCTAAAAATCTTTGGTCTACTGACATACATTCGGTTGGTTGAAAGAGCATCAATCAATTCTCTCAGTGTAATCCTAAGTAGAAGCCTGCCTATCGTTAGGGTGAACTTAGGTCGTTGATCCCGATTTTTTATATTTAAGGATTTATGAAGCTGACACCACTACAGCGCCAAAAACTTGATCCGTGTACGAAAAGTAAGTTGTGTAATATATAAGTATAGACAATTAATAATGAGATTCTATGCAAGTATACGTATCGTTATCAAGTAATAATGGACTTTCTATTTAAGTCCCAAATATCGATCTCACGGGGAAAAATTTAAATTTGCAATGATAAATTTTACTACACAGAAAGCAGAAAGTCAAACGAAATCACTGTCACTAATTTCGAATGTTGAGATATTATCAAAACTAAATTACCTAATTATTAGCAAACCAAAAATGCAAGATTTAAACAAAAACTACTAATCTACTAACTATGTTTATGTAATGAAGATTTCTTATGCGAAAATCATCATTCCCACTACAATGAGGTTTTGGTGAAATAAGATGAAATAAATGTTTATAATATGTATTATGCCAAATAGGAGCAGTTTTAATTCTCTATCCCGATACATTGCATAGAAAATCATTGGCTAATCTCAGGTTTAGTCCTTAAATCTGTGGCTAGGTTAGGAGGATACCTGCTCCCACTCCAGAGCTCCCACTTCCCTTCACCTGAAAGCCAACTCTCGCTTTTGTTTTTAAACACTAAGATCGAATTGGGGATTTTAGTCCGTCACCCTGAAGATTCTCCAATTCTCTACGCAACAAAGAACATTTCTCTATTTATTTGCACTTAATTTCATGAACGAATTTCTTCTCTATGAAATCAAAAGTGATCCTCACTCTGTTGTAGAACTCATACTCCATTTCCCGGATCATATGTTTCACAACACATTTTAACAATTTAATTGGCCATATCGAAAAATAAATTAAGAACTGAGTTGAAAAACCATCACAATTTATTTTATATTTTAAGTTTGACATATCCA